TTTGTCTTTTTTCCAAATACTACATAAACATATCAAGNATACAGTTTTATTTTGTTAGTTTTTGTTTCCATTCGTAGATTGTACACATGTCTATGACAGTCATTTCAACAGTTTTCTACCGATAGGAGTACGTAGCCGAGGCTGTTTCTTCTTAAAGTGCACGATAACCAATAACACGAGGATATTATCCGTGTCGTTGTCGTCATTTGAAGTATTAGTGCTGAACAGCCACAAACTTGTTTTAAGGCGATGTTTGATGTTAAACCAGGTCAACAGTAGTAAAACCCAAACCAACCCCGTTCTAAACCGTTACGTTAAACTAAAACTGGTTTTGTGATAACCATTTTAATAAAGTTCGAGTACAATAACTATTCAATTAACATTTTCAACACCGATGTAAAATTGGGGGTCTTATCTATTAGAATCTAGTATCATGTACATAATTTACACAATTTTCATTTTTACAGGGATTTCTTTTCTAGTTTGGAAACATTCGAATTTGGCTTTAGACACGAAGGAAATAGGTTAGCCTCCCTCATCCTTAAAGTTTTAGACCTTTCCGAGAACTAGAAATGTTTTTCTTTATTGGAGGGTCTTCTATATATCTTGAACCAGGTACGTTATAAATCACAGTCAATCATCAAGGGTTGATATAGGTTTCTCCAAAATGATGGGCCTGAGAATTCAGCAAAAATATGTACACAAACATTTTTTTAAATTTATAAGTCAAACGAAGAACATGAACTTTTCGATAATTATACTTTTCCACTTTCTTTCTTGCCGTTGTTTGTGTTCTTGTGAATGATCCTAATGAGAAAAGTAGATAGACGGCAGGACGCAATAAACGTACGTCGTGTAATGAGGTCGCGTGACTTTTCTGTTGGTTTCGGCAGGTTACATACATACACAAGCGGTTATATATCTAGATAGAGAAACTTGCAGGAATATTAGTTATTTGTATTACATGGTCGGAGACGACGATCGCGTGCTTAATCCACTGCAGGTGTGAGCAGCTCGTGTGAAGACAAGTGACTAAAAGGTTTACCGTACGACTGTTGACCTAGAGAACGTTATGTGAAATAAGTGTTGTAAAACTTTATGGATCAACGTGGAAACACACGTCACGAAGGTACTGTTGAATTCCTATTCATTTTTAACAATTATCCATTACGTTACATTACGTGAATAATTGTCAAGCTCGAGTTGCCAGCTACGTCGTTCTATTAACGCGCTGTAAACACAGGGACTTGAGAATTTGTTACAGCTATATTTGGAATTAAACTAAGGTGTTCAGAGTAATTTTACATGTTTTTGGGGTTTAAATCGACTTTCGGTAAGCACGATACCCCCAATGATTGTCTGAACACCATAGTTTAGGTCCAAATTTAGCTGTAACAAATTGTCAGGTTTCAGTGGTTGTGAGGGGTGGGTCTCCATGCTGTCTTTCCTTTCGTGTTGGCGTCTCTTCGGGTTCTCTTGTTATCGACAGACTTTGTTTTCTAATTTAGCACTTGTGTTGATTTTTTTATTTCACTCTCACGTTTTTGGAATAGAGAATGTACACATAATTTATCATTTTTAAGATACATTTACTTTTCCATAACTTAGTTTGTTGATTCTAAAGAGAATTTCATAAACGTCAACAACATTAGTACCTGAAATGACTTACTCTCCGACGAGTACCAGACGTGGAATAGGGTCCTAAATACAATTGGCACTGGGGTACTTTTTTGTGAGGTTCTCTATTTGTTTTTCTCATGTTATGATGTCCACCCAGTTTCTGTTGTTATTGTAATTTTATTATAAGTTTCTGTATAGATTTTGTGTTCTAACTTTGCCCTGGGATCTTGATTTGCCACCATCATTAGATAGTGGGTTGCTAAAATTACCCTTCGTCCGTGGTCCGTCCGTCCGTCCTTAACACAATTATTGTTAACATTATGTCTAAACAAGTACAGGACGGATCTCAAACTTCATGTGAAGATCCTTTGGTCCATAGTTGTGCATGTTTCATTTTGTAACTGACCGAGGAAAACCAAGATGGCCGTTAGGCAGCCATCTTGGATTTTGATACTTAAAAATTGTTATCACTCTTTCTCAAGAAGTACTGGACAGATCTTTCTGAAATTTCAACTCTCAAACCAAGCTGTATGCAAACAGTAACCACAGGATGTATTTGCCGTTGACAAGATTATGATCCCAACAGATAAGAAAAAGGAAGAGAAATGAGGGGAATATGTTAAACTTACATAGAAATAATGAAGATATTATGATGGTAAGTGCCAAGATCCCTCCAGGATCTCTTGTTTCCCTTTTGTTTTACTCACGGCTCGGATCAAGAATGTTTCTGGCTAGAGGGGACACAACGATAGAAACTAAATTCTTCGTCAGTATGAATATACACCGGTTTTTTCAGTAAAGCATACGCAACATTAGAGTTTTTTAAAAAAATTTGCCTAATCACATTTTGTATTTTGGAAATAAAGTATGTTTAAATAAAAAAAAAAATCCCATTTTACATGTCACACAGAATGAATACCAAAACAGGAGGAAAGGACATGAACATATATTAATATAAAGATAAATAATATTTAGTGGAAATGTTTGGGGAAAAAATATTTCCAGTAACGTTAGGCGAGAGGATGAACCTATTCACCACTTTTTCTTCATTAATAGTCTCTTTTGAACAGGAAACAGTTATAAATTCATATGTTAAAAGATTTGGATAACCTACCTCTGCATGATTTAATTACACCTGATGATGTAACGGAAACAAGCATACCCACATCAAACGAGCCCTAAAGTTAAGTGTGATGTTCCGCCTTTACGACACATCCATTAGAACATCAGGAACATCCTCGGCCTTGTACCAGTGGGATTATAGTACATCAAAACGGTCCAGGTAGCTTAGGTTACCTGGCCTTACCTGTGCATCAACTTCATATGCTTGCACCAAAAAGGCACAGGTGAGTTTTTGTTTAAATAGCATTCATATTGATCTATAATCTGATATAGTTTTATTTTCATTTTAATAGGAATATTTATTAAACCCCGGTCAAATTTTCAAAAACTAGTCATCGTAACAAGACGTGCGTATACAAATTTAAAAAATGAAAATGGAGAGGTATCAGAAATTTTATTTTTAAATTTATTTTTGAGTAATAATTTTAATTATTTATATATGTACATTTGAGTTTTAAATTCAAATATTTTTTAAAATGTCCTATTGATTCAAATTTTATGCTAATTACCCGCCAGTCTAATCAGACTTCGAGCAACTTGATGAAAAAAGTATCTTCATGTATCAAAATAATAGGCAAGAGCCCAGTTATAAACATGTCCAGAACAAAAACAGATATCGGATGGAACTGCACCATCAACGCCGCTGTTTTATGACGACGTCGTGATTTCGAAGTGATCTGATAATGAAACAATTCACTTTTGATTAGACCTAAAATGTATCTGTTTGAAGTTGTTTCCCTACTGACTCAGATATTTTTTTTTTTTTTTTTTATATATAATAAAGTGCCTTTACATGCATTATAACAAAAACATGAAGTATACCAAACCCCAACACTGCTTCATTGGGGTACGTGTGACACAGATCCCCCACTCCATGGTTTGGGATGTGAATTTTGAGCCGCGCCCTTGCACTGGTCATGAAATAAAACTCATACAAGGGAGACAAATCTTGCACATTTTGTAATACAGAAACTAACAAAATTGAAAGCTTGCAAAGCAATATAATATTAACCAAAACTGAAGGAGTATGTGTTAGGCTTAGCTTACATTCATGCAGCTGTGCAAATGAATGACTTCTGACAATCACAATGAACTGTTTTCAAGTTTAATATGAGAGTTTGGCCAGCAAATCTACCTGAATTTGTGACGTGGCCAAAACATTATTTAAGGAAAATCATTAAACAGTATTTGTAGGATAGTGAATGTATGTAAAATGCAACTAATATTTGTGAGTTACCTATATTTTGTGAGTTTCTTGTATTAAATATACAATAAGCCTTTCATATAGCTCCCTATCTTAGAATAAGCCTCTCTAAGACGCGCTTTACAGTACATAGATATACAGTTTATACATTCAATACCATGAACATATACTGTACATTAAATAATACATTAATCAATACAACTTTGAGGAATTTGCAGCAACTGCCTTACAGGCGCCAATTGCGTATACTAGTCCTATACCACCTAAATTTATTGTGAGATTAATAGTTATATTTGTTAGTTACTTGTATTTGTAAGCAACTTGTAATTGTGAGTGACTTTTATTGTGAGTTACATGTGTTTTTGTGAGCACGTTGTATTTATGAGTTACCTGTATTTGTGAATATTTGTGACTACGTTGTATTTGTGATTTACCTGTATTTCTGAGTTAATTGTATTTATGAGTTACCTATTTGTGAGTTAGTTATGTATGTGAGTTTTGTGACTACATTGTATTCGTGAGTTACCTATATTAATGGTGTAGTGTATTAATGGTGTACAGGACCTGTTTTTGTGAAGGGAACTCGTTTGATGTATGACTGCCTGTATGTGATTGCCTACGCTGTATTCCTTAGGACTGATACAAATATACTGCGCAAAGCTAGTGAGCCTCCCACGTCATTAGCAATTGACACCTCATTTGTGTATTACCAATTGTGTTGTAATGTGTTTATGGAAACAGAGAGACTCCAGCCTACATACACCTCATACACATACCACAGTAGTATCTCGTACGTATCTCGTATAAAACACGTTCTTTAATAAAGTGTATTATTGAATAAAATCCTCTCCATTTTGAAATAGAAGCAAATACAAAATTCCTACATGCTCCGTTACAAACACAGATAAAACATGCCTGAAACTAGATTCCCTTTTACCCGAAGTGTTGAGTGTTCTGGCTAGAAGGTAGAGTGTTTGTGAGGTACAAGGAGGTATGCAGGGCCTGACAAACACACATACCAGGGGGTCTGATACTGCTGTACACTACGTCACCTACCAGTGAAGAGCGGGGGTCGACGGTGGGAAGAAATAGTGCTACTTTTCCCTCGTGTGAGCACCACAGCTCTTGAAAAGCTATGTATATATATATATATATACTAGTTGCCAAATATGACAAGATCTTCAACTAGAAGCTTCAGAATCTTTTGTGATATTGTCAGTGGGGGATTCTTAGACTGACGAAAAGTCTGCGTACGTTTCCAGGGAACTAAAACTGTGCATCTCTTTTAACTTTCTGGTGGAACAAAATGAAAAAAATATTCGCAACTTGGAGCTGATTTCAGGACTCAAGTGGTTTGATGGGGTAGGTAAACTTAATCCAGATCTGGTGAGCAGGCGACTGAAGGTTCCTACCATTAGGCTTTTTTCTGTGTGTTGTGTCTGATGTTCTCAAGTATGCTATATCCTGGGTCTGATTTGATTGGATGACAGCAGTACATAACTATTTGAACTTAAAGATGTGTCCAATTACAACTATGCAGGTAGGTTCATAATTCATGTTTACATCCGTCTAATTGGTGCTCTGCCCAGAAAGACTGGGGTAGCACCTGGTCTACACCTGGCCACTGTTAACCGGGAAAACCGGTACTGTCGGACTAACTCAGGTAGAGGGCGCTATTATTAGTTGATGGAGTAATTAATCAGTTACAGTGAAAATCAGTAATTAATTTAGGTGTATAAACATTCACAGTAATCTGTCTATAGGTATTCCTAAATAATTCATTTTTCCAGGTTAACACATGATCACAGGAGTCGGAATTCAAAAACCTATAATACGCTTATAAGTTTCTTATATTATTATTAATGATTGACAGAATTTCCTACTGTCCACATCCTGTATCCATAATTAGACCTGATATAAATACTTGTGAACAAAAAATACGAAATTAATGTGAAAAAAAACAACATTAAAAAATACAACTAAAAAAAGGAAGAAAGAAGAAAATAATACCAATAATTACTAAATAACACACAAATCAATTATGAATACAGTAACAATTAATGTAATCAGTGAAAAAAACACCGAAATCAATAACTTATGCAAATAAATCAGAATTCTTTGATTTATAAGAAACCAGATATCAATTATTTTTACAGAAAATGTCAATACAAACAGAAAGCAAATCCCCCCAATAATTAACACAAATAAATCAGAAATCAGTAATTAATATACATCAATAATTTATACAGATATCAACATTCAATACAGATATCAGTTATTAACACAATTGAATAAATCTGTAATAAATACAGCATTAATTATCAATACAAATATCATTTATGTACAGAAATCAGTAATTAATACAGATATCCGTAATTAATACAGAAATCAGTTATTCACACAAGTACAGAAATATGTTTTTCTGTAATAGAAATAAATGATATTGCAGTTTAGCTAAATTCAGTTAACAAAACAGGAACAAAATTGAAATTTCCAAAACCTTTTATAAGTGATTCACAAATTTAGTATACAGGGTTTTGTGTATTAGTGAAGTAAAAATAGGTAAACAAGAAACCAGGACCAGATTGACAAGTTAATACCTCATTTATGTAGGTGGTGCTCTGGTTTATGTGTGTGACCCACAGGATTATTATGTTAATGCTTTACTATACCGTGGTATTGTATTTAGAGGTTAGGTGTATACATTTGTTTTAACTTCCTGTCTGCCTCTGGGGAATTCTCTCCCCTTGCATCATGGTCAGCACCTTTTTGACCTCTCAGGGTCTAATTGCACCGGGTTTCCCTTCAAACAATTTTGAAATGCACACTCACATGACATTTATGTGACATTTTTATTGTTATTTCCTTTTTTTCATTTTGCCTGAAACCTGTTTCGCCCTACTACAGCTCTGTGATGTGGACAGAAGGTTAGATGTGGACAGCTCTGTGGTGTGGACAAAAGGTTAGATGTGGACAGCTATGTGCTGTGGACAGAAGGTTAGATGTGGACAGAAGGTTAGATGTGGACAGCTCTGTGGTGTGGACAGAAGGTTAGATGTGGACAGCTCTGTGGTGTGGACAGAAGGTTAGATGTGGACAGCTCTGTGCTGTGGACAGAAGGTTAGATGTGGACAGCTCTGTGCTGTGGACAGAAGGTTAGATGTGGACAGCTCTGTGCTGTGGACAGAAGGTTAGATGTGGACAGCTCTGTGCTGTGGACAGAAGGTTAGATGTGGACAGCTCTGTGCTGTGGACAGAAGGTTAGATGTGGACAGCTCTGTGCTGTGGACAGAAGGTTAGATGTGGACAGCTCTGTGCTGTGGACAGAAGGTTAGATGTGGACAGCTCTGTGCTGTGGACAGAAGGTTAGATGTGGACAGCTCTGTGCTGTGGACAGAAGGTTAGATGTGGACAGCTCTGTGCTGTGGACAGAAGGTTAGATGTGGACAGCTCTGTGCTGTGGACAGAAGGTTAGATGTGGACAGCTCTGTGCTGTGGACAGAAGGTTAGATGTGGACAGCTCTGTGCTGTGGACAGAAGGTTAGATGTGGACAGCTCTGTGCTGTGGACAGAAGGTTAGATGTGGACAGCTCTGTGCTGTGGACAGAAGGTTAGATGTGGACAGCTCTGTGCTGTGGACAGAAGGTTAGATGTGGACAGCTCTGTGCTGTGGACAGAAGGTTAGATGTGGACAGCTCTGTGCTGTGGACAGAAGGTTAGATGTGGACAGCTCTGTGCTGTGGACAGAAGGTTAGATGTGGACAGCTCTGTGCTGTGGACAGAAGGTTAGATGTGGACAGCTCTGTGCTGTGGACAGAAGGTTAGATGTGGACAGCTCTGTGCTGTGGACAGAAGGTTAGATGTGGACAGCTCTGTGCTGTGGACAGAAGGTTAGATGTGGACAGCTCTGTGCTGTGGACAGAAGGTTAGATGTGGACAGCTCTGTGCTGTGGACAGAAGGTTAGATGTGGACAGAAGGATAGATGTGGACAGCTCTGTGCTGTGGACAGAAGGTTAGATGTGGACAGCTCTGTGCTGTGGACAGAAGGTTAGATGTGGACAGCTCTGTGCTGTGGACAGAAGGTTAGATGTGGACAGCTCTGTGCTGTGGACAGAAGGTTAGATGTGGACAGCTCTGTGCTGTGGACAGAAGGTTAGATGTGGACAGCTCTGTGCTGTGGACAGAAGGTTAGATGTGGACAGCTCTGTGCTGTGGACAGAAGGTTAGATGTGGACAGCTCTGTGCTGTGGACAGAAGGTTAGATGTGGACAGCTCTGTGCTGTGGACAGAAGGTTAGATGTGGACAGCTCTGTGCTGTGGACAGAAGGTTAGATGTGGACAGCTCTGTGCTGTGGACAGAAGGTTAGATGTGGACAGCTCTGTGCTGTGGACAGAAGGTTAGATGTGGACAGCTCTGTGCTGTGGACAGAAGGTTAGATGTGGACAGCTCTGTGCTGTGGACAGAAGGTTAGATGTGGACAGCTCTGTGCTGTGGACAGAAGGTTAGATGTGGACAGCTCTGTGCTGTGGACAGAAGGTTAGATGTGGACAGCTCTGTGCTGTGGACAGAAGGTTAGATGTGGACAGCTCTGTGCTGTGGACAGAAGGTTAGATGTGGACAGCTCTGTGCTGTGGACAGAAGGTTAGATGTGGACAGCTCTGTGCTGTGGACAGAAGGATAGATGTGGACAGCTCTGTGCTGTGGACAGAAGGTTAGATGTGGACAGCTCTGTGCTGTGGACAGAAGGTTAGATGTGGACAGCTCTGTGCTGTGGACAGAAGGTTAGATGTGGACAGCTCTGTGCTGTGGACAGAAGGTTAGATGTGGACAGCTCTGTGCTGTGGACAGAAGGTTAGATGTGGACAGCTCTGTGCTGTGGACAGAAGGTTAGATGTGGACAGCTCTGTGCTGTGGACAGAAGGTTAGATGTGGACAGCTCTGTGCTGTGGACAGAAGGTTAGATGTGGACAGCTCTGTGCTGTGGACAGAAGGTTAGATGTGGACAGCTCTGTGCTGTGGACAGAAGGTTAGATGTGGACAGCTCTGTGCTGTGGACAGAAGGTTAGATGTGGACAGCTCTGTGCTGTGGACAGAAGGTTAGATGTGGACAGCTCTGTGCTGTGGACAGAAGGTTAGATGTGGACAGCTCTGTGCTGTGGACAGAAGGTTAGATGTGGACAGCTCTGTGCTGTGGACAGAAGGTTAGATGTGGACAGCTCTGTGCTGTGGACAGAAGGTTAGATGTGGACAGAAGGATAGATGTGGACAGCTCTGTGCTGTGGACAGAAGGTTAGATGTGGACAGAATGATTGATGTGGACAGCTCTGTGCTGTGGACAGAAGGTTAGATGTAGACAGCTCTGTGCTGTTGACAGAAGGTTAGATGTGGACAGCTCTGTGCTGTGGACAGAAGGTTAGATGTGGACAGAAGGATAGATTAGGACAGCTCTGTGCTGTGGACAGAAGGTTAGATCTGGACAGAATGATTGATGTGGACAGCTCTGTGCTGTCGACAGAAGGTTAGATGTAGACAGCTCTGTGCTGTTGACAGAAGGTTATATGTGGACAGAAGGTAGATGTGGACAACTCTGTGCTGTGGACAGAAGGTTAGATGTGGACAGCTCTGTGGTGTGGACAGAAGGTTAGCTGTCGACAGCTCTGTGCTGTTGACAGAAGGTTGGAAGTGGACCACTCTGTGCTGTGGACAGAAGGATAGATGTGGACATCTCTGTGCTGTGGACAGAATGGTAGATGTGGCCAGCTCTGTGCTGTGGACAGTTTAGATGTGGACAGAAGGTTTGATGTGGACAGCTCTGTGCTGTGAACAGAATGTTAGATGTGGACATCTCTGTGGTGTGGACAGAAGGTTAGCTGTCGACAGCTCTGTGCTGTTGACAGAAGGATAGATGTGGACAGCTCTGTGCTGTGGACAGAAGGTTAGATGTGGACAGAAGGTTGGATGTGGACAGCTCTGTGCTGTGGACAGAAGGTTAGATGTGGACAGAAATATAGATGTGGACAGCTCTGTGCTGTGGACAGAAGGTTAGATGTGGCCAGCGCTGTGCTGTGGGCAGAAGGTTAGATGTGGGCAGCTCAGTGCTGTGGACAGAAGGCTAGATGTTAGATGTGGACAGCTCTGTGGCTTGGACAGAAGGTTAGATGTGGGCAGCTCAGTGCTGTGGACAGAAGGCTAGATGTTAGATGTGGACAGCTCTGTGCTGTTGACAGAAGGTTAGATGTGAACAGCTCTGTGGTGGGGACAGAAGGTTAGATGTGGACAGAAGGTTAGATGTGGACAGCTCTGTGATGGGGACAGAAGGTTAGATGTGGACAGCTCTGTGCTGTGGACAGAAGGCTTGAT